TTGGGGGGGGGGGGGGGGGGGGGGTGTACTCATAGTCGTGCATGCCGTAGTGGTTTGACCATTGACCTCGCATGTTGATTGGTGATGTGCGCCATGAGCGATGTTGTGGCTGTGGTGATACGGTACGGTGTGGTGATGGGTGCTGATGAGGACGACGAGTTATCATGGAAACGGTATCGCGTGCAAACGTACGTTGCCTTGTTCCCACATGGCTAACTAAGATGGGGGGTGGGGAGAGCACCCTCCTTGTGCCCGGCTTGTTGCTGCGAGACGAGCCACGTGTAGTGAGAGACCATGACAAATACAGCTATTATACGACAAACGACAACAATGACAACAACATGGCGACGAAAACAACAGTGACAGCAACAACAACAACAACAACAACAACAACAACGACAGCAACAGCGATGAACATAACAACAACTAATGACGACGACGACAACAACGGCAACGACAACAACGACAGCAACAGCGATGAACATAACAACAACTAATGACGACGACGACAACAACGGCAACGACAACCCGCAGGTGGACCGAGGCGTGCCGTTCTCGATGGGGCTCAGCCTGAAGCAGCAAGCGGACACCGTCGCCTCCGCTGAAACCGCCCGCTTCGAGGCGAAGGAGGCAGATATCAAGAAAACCTCCCAAAAGGTAGGTACTCGCCCATCAGACCTTTTGCTATTCGATGTGGTAGAGGCACTCTGGAGTACTGGGGGGGGGAGGGGGGCGACGTACGATTTTGGATGTACCCTTGGAACACGGCGGGAAGCTGTCGTTGTGGGTCTTTGCGGTGATGTAGGACACGCGAGTACCGGGAGAATCTGTCTGATGGCGTCGTAGATCGAGCGCATTTTTTTTTTTCGGGACAAACGAGAGTGGCTCGGTCCGACATGGCCTCAAGTCCCCGCCGTTGTTTTTTGCGTTCAAGATCAGTAGCATACGCGGTCGATGCTAATGGTACAACACACATAAACTTGTGTTTTTATTGGTGATATTGACCATGGTTTCATCGGCCAGCCTGTTAGCGCGGTAGACGCTAGTATTAAAAAGCACGCGCACACCCATCGCGCACCCGCCCGTGCACCACCAGCGTCCGTACAACAACCGCCTCCGAAATTTCTCGGAAACTTATCACCAGGCCGGAGACGCCGAGGCCCCCACCCCGGACAAGGGCAAGGGTAATAGCAGCAGCAGCAGCAGCAGCAAGGCCAAGAAGACGAAGAAGGACCCCGAGGCGCGCGCGCGGCGCAAGGAGCTGAGCAAGGTCAAGTCTACCTTGGGCCGCCTGCAACGCCGCGTGGACGGGTTCTGGTACTCCAAGTTCCCCTTCGCGGGGGCCAGCGGGTTCCGCAAGCGTGTGTTGCTGGTGAGAGGGAGAGGGAGAGGGAGAGGAAGGGAGGGGGGGGAGGGAGAGAAAGCAGTAGGTGTTGATCGTGGTCATACAGGAGCACGGTTGCGGTGAGAGTTGGGCATCGTGTTTGCGATGGCGTTTAGCGTCACCTTACTCTCCCGGAAGCGCTTGCGTGCGCCTCCTGGTCTTGTCGTTGGTGTGTGTATGTTTTTGAGGGCGTTCGCCCACAGATGACATGTCTGAAGCTGAAGGCCTGCTTCAATCGTGTTCCAGGCAGGAAGGAGTACATATGAACGACCCCACAGCAAACACCACAGCTCCACACAATATTTCTCCGCGGCATTCGGATTGAATTCCTGCTTCGCGACCCCCGGAGGAGTACTGCCACTGCTACACGCTAGTCACGCTTCAACCTCCCCCCCCCCCCAGCTTTCATTCGTAATGCAATGCCTACCTGGGGTCCCGTTTTTTCAACAAATGTATATGAACGAAAAGGCTTGGATCTCTACATGGACGTTAGAAGTTTCCCTACAACAAATGTGCAACATTAGTACATTACCCTCCCCTTCCCCTGAATATGCCCTAACCCCCCTCCCCCCCCCTCTCTCTGGTACCTACAGGGGATGGAGAAAGACGTTACCCTTGCGGGGGGACTCGCCACCGACCGCATCCTCGTGTACCCGCCTCCCACTGGGG